TTACCCGGCAACCTGTCCTAAATCTTGAACTCTCATAGTGGCAACATATGTTACGACTAATACAGCGTCAATCATTAGATAAATTTAGATGCGTATACAAATATTTCAGAGTAGTGTATTATCAACAGTTTTAGAACAAAATAGCATGTTTTCTGTAAGGTATCCGTTTATTAAATGACGTCTGTGCCTTAACTGTTTACATGCCTGTCCGCCACAGTTCAGCAAAAGGCCTTGTGCATGTACATCACAGTCCTTTTGCTAATTTTTCTAAATTTCTACCTGCATGTGTTTGCTTTGTAATTTATGTAGTGTTCTCTGTTTTGTTGGATTTGTAAATTTTCCTGTTTTGATTTATACTTATCTTGGGTACATTAGGTGTACAATCAGCCTCATAAGGAAAAATCTTAAAAGTGCTTTATCAAACCATCCATAGTAAAATTTAATTTGCAGTTTAGTGTTATTTTAGTTTGCTATTTACTATTGTCTATTTCTTTTTTCAATAATTTTCAAATCTTACACAGCCATCAAATGTTGCAATTACTATTCCATATGTGTGAATCTGTTTTTGCTTTCTATTGTGATTGATATAAATGAAAGTATTGGGAACTGTTCACAAATTGACCACACCCCTATTACTCCAACCACTCCTTGGAATCCACAAACATAACCATAGAAACCAAAAACCTTCCTAACCAGAGAGCTTTGTTCCCAGACCTCCATCCGATTGCTGTATTTCCCTATCAGAGCTCTGCCTCTGAACCCCTACTTGATTGTCATTGGCTTCTTCTCCATTTGGCATTACATGCAATTCATTTTCTTTATTTCTTATTTATTCTTTGCCTGCACAATTATTTCAAATATTAGTGAGTGTAGTGTATCTGTTTCTTTATGTAAATGTATAGCCACCTAAGTAGTTTTTGTTGTGCAGCTTTCTTAATATCAAATTGCAAAGGAAATACCATAGAATGTGTTTTATTTTGTCATTTTATCCATTTAGGCAAAATTTATCTTATATGATATGGCTGTGAGAAACTGAATCTATACCCTTTTTTCTGTTTACTGTGTTTGTTTTCTTTTTACAGCCTCATGCTTTTTTTGTGATAATTTTTTCTTGTCATTTCCCAAAGTACTTTTATTTATATATTTTAAGGTAGAAAATTATTGCAAGAATCGATAGAAATTAACAAAACAAAATAGATACTCAGATCCAGAGGGGTATGATGACATACATTATAATGGGCAAATTCAAAGTGATGTTCTTGTAGAGTACAAAAAGTTGTAGTTTTTGGTATAAGAAAGTACCAGCAAAAACAAATAGTATCGCCACAGATAAAGGAAAAAGATCACCGAAAGTGCTGCTCATAGCCCAAGTCCACTCGATGCTGCCAAGTTTCAGGTCTATCTAGCCGTGCATATAGAGATGAACAATATTTAATGGGGGTTGTTGAACAATATTTAAAGGGGATTGTTGGGGGCAGATCCCCCCTATCAACGCTCTCCATGGAGAGTCAGGCATGCCCAGTCACAGGAGTTTTGATTGGTAAATAAAGTTTGCAACATGTACCTCTGTACTATAAAGAAATAGTTTTTCTCTTTGCATTTCTTTTTTTTTTTTTTTTTCTTTTTCTTTTTTTCAGTGGTAATTCTTTACAGTAAGTTATTAGCTTCACATCTCAAAATCTAAATGAATAAAGAATTTATGCATCTTAGGCTACATATGTTGTCACAGAGCCTAGCATATTTAGATGCGCAACTCTTGAGGAAACATGCAACTTCATAACTCCAACTGAAACAGGTATCCTGGGAATACTTTTCAAGGCACTTCCATCCTCATGCCATATGACGATAAGCATTCTGGCAATTATATAATCCTCAAGGCCTTGTCTGTAGGCCTACACATAAACTGAAATGAATGCAATTAGTAACACTTCACTCACTTGTGAATTTTAGCTTTTTACTAAGGAAAGTGTTGATTACATCATCTGCTTTTACATTTTATCCCACTGTTTATAAAGTATTGAAATAGATTAATAAATTAATTTTGATAAGATAGTTTTTGCATAGCAGTTTTTTTTATGCAGTGTGCATCTTAAATGGTGGATTGTGTTCTAGTTAGTGAATTTACCTTAATAGCTTTATAGTATGATGTCAGGACACTGTTTTTAAGTTTGTTTCAGCTTGCTTGTTTCTTTTTATCAACCATTGTATTGATTATTTTTAACATCGGATGAATTAGTTATTTTCCCTTTGCCTATATATAGTATTGGTAATGATGTATTCCGAAACATTACTTTCTAGGTCCTTTATGCACGCCTGTCTTTTTGCATCATGATTGTGAATATTTGTATGTGCCCAAAGATTGGTACTGTTCTAAAAATACATGATTACGATAATACGTTTTATTCAACAGCCTTGTAATGAAGCTTGCTCAATGTTTCATTCAGTTAATGTATATTCTTTCCACTACTTCTGTCCCTTTTGCATTTTCTATTTATGTAGATAATCAGTTGCTCACTAACTCTTGTTATGTTTTCCACAGGCTGCAGCACCAGGTGTTCCACCACAGCAATACCAACAGGCTCCTACAGTGCCACCACCACAGCAACAGCAATACCAGCAACAACAGCAGCAGCAGCAATACCAGCAGCCACCACAGCAACAACAGCAATACCAGCAACCACCACAGCAACAGCAGCAATACCAACAACCACCACAGCAACAGCAGCAGCAGTATCAGGTAAATATAAGTCACCAAACTACCCAACAATTCATGGGAGTGTCTCCTTATTCTTTAGGTTTTGAGGGGCTGTGACTTCTTATTCTTTGGATTTTGAGGAGCTGTGACTTCTGCAGTTTACTATTTATCTTCAACAGAAGTGATAACCAGAACTCGTTTTTTTACAAAATGAAGTGAAATTTTAACATATATGGTATATACATCTTTTCATAGTGTGGTAAGAAGAAAAAAAACACAAAGAAACTGACTTTGCAACCCATAACACTGCTGTTTATATATTGGCAATAAAGAGAAAGATCATAAGAAGAAAGGATATATATAGAATGATATGAGCTAGAGTTTTCCCTGGAGGAAAGGATATGGTCATTCATTAGCCTAATGTAGGATGGCAGGTCAGGTAGCTAAGAAACAAATTTTTAGTTTATGTATGTACCCTTGACACTCATTATGCCATTTATTGTATATTATTCTCACAATACCTGATGATGTGAGTTGGGCTGTGTTATGATAAGATTTTAGTGCTGAACATCTATATTTGGACATGGATAACATTCCTTTTGCCTAGGGTTAAGGTTAAAGTAGGAAAGTGGTTGATGCTATGTTGTTTCTCTATAGTTACCCATAGTTACTGTAATCTTACTGGAAACAGGAATGTATATAATGAAGATTATCTACAAGTGGCAGTAGGCCTATCTGTTGCTCTTGTTCATCTGATATAGATAGTGCAAGTATTATATATGTGTATTTGTATTTTTTACCTGTGCTCTTATATTGGTATCACTACAAGTAACATTATTCAGAAATGTAAATGTGGCAAAAATGAGAGACTATTTTTATAGTTTATGGTGTTACTTTCTGTCCAGTCATCTCCTCTTTGTTGAAGCATGACAGATCAGATGTTCCAAGATTTTGTATTACAAATAATTTGCATAATAGAAGCGAACTTTATGTATTCCTTGTTCAGTATAATCTCTCTTGGATAACCTGTTACATTGAATTAGGAACAATTTGAATCAGAAATGAATTGACATGAAATTAAAGTTTAGACAGTTTCAGGAGCAGAGGGTTGAATTGATTTTTTGTTAAATAGAATATGTCTCCAAATGAAAAATGGTTTTAGAGGAAGCATGATTATAATATTTTTGGAGGTAAAGTCTCACTTCACAGATAGTTTTAACAGAAATGGTGGTTAACTCTGAATTATGTAACCTTTCTGTATAAATCAATTTATGAATGGGGCATATTTGAAGCTACTACTGCATGGAAATTTATTGTCTATATATGTATTTTTTTCTGAAGGAGGGGGAAATTGAGATGGGAGTATGAAAATTAGGTTATGGTTGATTTTGATTAAGTACCTTGTGTGAATAGTAGTCCATTGCACAAATAAAATGCTATAAGAAGGATGAAAACTTTTGAATAATCAGGTACTTCATCGCCCATTTGACTGTAAGCTAATTATGCCTCTCTTGATTCAAGTAACACCTGGTGCTATGACGTTATACATTGAAATGATTCATATTGATTTATAGTAAAAGAAATTGGAAAATAAAAATTTGATATGTAAATTATCTGTCAGTATAAATGGTAGATGAAGTTTATAATTTCATTCTCTTAATATTTTTTTGCTTTAGGTTAAAGGATAATGAATGCAGTAATGCAGTAACTGTTGTTAGTCTGTATCTAATTTGCAAACCAGCTCTTAGTTCTATAGGAATAATGGTATTTCAAAGATAAAAGAAGAGTTTCGTTTATTGTTTAGTCCCTTCCCCCCTCCAATCCTTTGCTTAATTGTATCATGGGGTTGCTTAGGAGACAGAGACCCAATGTCAGGGATCACCCCTACCTTAGGCTTCAGCCTTTGACTCGACTAATTTTGCATGATTTTCTCTTCTTCCCCTCTCCTTTTCTTTCTCTTCTCCAACTTCTATCCACTTCTGAAAGTGTGAGAGCCATGTTGAACAGATGAAAAGGTGACTTTTGGATTGTTGGGATTGTTGGCGCTCATCAGCAGTTCCCCTGTTTGCACCTGGTTTGTTTGGTAGTTTGCAAACAACATTCGGTACCTAAAAGCTTTTATTTTGCTATAATTTTTAATAACATCATAAATTTGAAGGTTTACCTTCACTTTAGGTGCTATTGCCCAAAAGCTCTACCATGTAAATGAAGCTGCTAATATTGGAGAAAAACAAACTCCATCTGATGAGCCAATGGTGCGGGAATGGTCATGATATAATGCCAATCACTGCTTTGTCCACAATAGCCATGGCATGTATGTACATGCCACCTGGGGGCAAAGGGTTAAGGGGACCCTGAGGGTGAGGGCTGGACCATTTCTCTCCCAAATATATTCCAGTATTACCATGGCCAGTAATGACGATTTTGTAAACCAGTTAGGGGCAATGAGGCTTGCCCCTTTATTTACTAGTCACACTGATTTAATCCCCCCCGATTCCCTGACCCCATGCACTCCTTTGACCACAACTCTGAACATAACTACTATCCCCTCCTCAACACCTACTATCACGTCAGTCCAGTCCAGATCATCCACCAAGGGCATTACTCAACCTCCAAGAAACATTCCTCCTCTTCCAGCATCCTCTACTTCATCTACTATCCCCTCCTCCCTTCTTAATTCTCCGCAGCCTTATTATCCATTTCTCTGCTGTACTACTTCACTCAACACCACTCTCTTTTCCACAAGGCCCTTTCCTGCTACTACCCCCATGTCTAAAAATCTTAAGTACTCTGTTTAGCTCAGGCAAATGGGATCATTTTTTGTGATCTCTACAGCCCCTTACTCTAACACTACTCTTCCAACAATGCCTCCAAAAACAAGTAGTGACTGACTTCACTAGCAAACCCATTCATGCCCAGTCTCATCCCTCCCTCAATATTTGTACCAGAACTGTCTAAATCTCCCCTTGCCTGCCTTGTGGACTTAGATGTAGTATTAGTACAAGGCAATACCATTCATCTTAGAGCCCTCCTTCAATACTGCTAAGATTACCTTCTGTACACATGACCCCCTTCATAATTATATTGGCAGATAATCCCTCCCTGTCTGATCACACCAACCTCCACTGTCTCAATGTCAGAATTGTTCGCCACCCCAGCAAACATTGTTGCTTCATAGTCCAATGCCCACTATGTGCCCAACCTGGTCATGATCAACCAGACTGCTCTGCACAAACATGAAAATGTGGCAATTGTGGTGGCTCCCATAATGTATTTATAGGGGCTGCCCTACCTACAAGTTTGAGTGTGAGGTGGCAACACTCTGATTCAAACTTAGCCCCACTACATGAGGCTAGACAGGAAGCATGTCAATGAGGATTTTCTCTTACTCCCTACTCCAGTGCTGCCCTTCACTCTGCCCCTTCCCCTTCCTCCTAAGATGTTTCTACACCCCCTCCCCCCTGTATATATTCCTTCTCCATCCAGAATTTCCACTTCTACCCCCTTCCTTCCCCAATCAAATTTTTCTACAATTCTAAATCCAGACACCCCAGTATGTACCACTGCCTCGGCACCAACCCCTCTCCCTCCTCGCTTTACCTGTAGTAGTCAGTCAGAACATTCCACCTCATCTTCTACTGAACCCTCTCGTTCACCTACCTCTTGTTCTACCCCAGAAATGCCTAACTCTGTTTCTCCCCCACTTAAGAAAACCATTGTTTCTCAGACTTCCCCAAACAATTCCACTTCAGAAAATCATGACCCAGAATAACATGCTTACACCTCATCCATCTTCCAATCTCTCCGCTCCCATTCCCTCTACACTCAAAGTAATTGCCAACATCCATTCCCCTCCTGTTCATGTTCCCCCCTACACCCCTTCCTCCCACTCCCTCCAAATGCATCCCTTTCAGCTATAAGACATATAATACATTTAAATATCAAATAACTCCTCTACTTGCCCTTTTCACAAATATTCCTTTATATAGTGCTATATGTACATTTAATTTGTTTTGTAACCATTAACCATTATCCTTTGCATTGTTTAGGTAGTTGTGGTGCTGAAATAGAAATGTTGAAGTGTTCTCACCCATTTTTCATGGAATAAAGTTTTTGCTCTTGCTGTATGCTCTATCTCACAATTATTTCTGAGGAAAGCCAATGTAAATGTACTGGATATCTCATCTCTCTCTTTCTCTTTCATTGTAAATTAGTTTTCTCTTAATATTTTGTTCTAGTTTGTATATTTTTTCTGTTACCTTTTTGCATAGAATACTAAGTGGTTGGGGCGTATACAAGAAAGTTTCACATCTTTTTAAGAATGTCTCTGCCTTCCTTTGAGCACTTTCAAAAACTTGGATCAAAATATGGACAGTAGCAATACACGCAATATAAAAAGATTAAGAAAACTTGTAGGGACAGTTGTTTCTAATGTGATTTTATTGATGTGAAGCATATATTCTTCCCAAGATATACTGAGCCTATTTGACAGGTGGCAAATAAATTATCCATACTACATCAAGTCAAGCTTTCTTTGTGTTATAACAGTTGTTTGCTTGTTGGGCTCTCACTGTGGTCATTGAGGAGGTACAGCCCTTCAAAGTAGACTTAAAAGTATCTTTATGATTTTATAATGTAAAAGTCAGAAATACTGCAGGAAAGTCATTGGTATAGGTAAAAAAACTGTCATAGAGTTGAATATTTTTTTAAATAAACATTTTGTGTTCTGGCATAAGTGCCTACATGTTTCCAGGTCTTGTGTATGTGTGTGTAAACTTGTGTGAATGCAGAAATGTATACTGACCCAGATCCATACCTTTTTAGACATGTAAATAACATGTAGTCATTGGAAATAACAACTTACTGGTCAATAGTTCAGGAAAGCATTGTTACATAGCATGCTGTTAGTCACCCCAACATACATTTCTCATATTGGTTTATGAATAATATATGTAGAGGCAGTTAGGTTAAACATTGATGGGCCATTCATTTTAATGTTAACGTCATTATTACTATTGTTCTTATTATTTCATAATGGTCATCAGTCTTGATTGTCATTGTTGTCATTATCATTAGTTTCATTATTATCAGTGGACTTAACACATGGAAGGTAATATCAAGGAACACACACATTTGCTCAGCTTCACACCCTCTACATTTAATCCTAGACATATCTAATAGACAGTGCATCAATTTTAATGAACTCTCCCTCTTTTACAGCAGCCACAGCAGGCAGCTCAAGGCCACCAGCCGCACCAGAACCAGCGTGTGCTACACAACCCTAACCTAGGCAAGGAGCGGGATCACATCAAGGAGCATCTTGAGGTGCCTATTGACACTGCAGGCATGTCTGAGCAGGAGCTGCAGTACCACTATTTCAAGATGCACGATGCTGACAACAACAACAAGCTTGACGGACAGGAGCTGATCAAGTCGCTCTTCCATTGGCATGACTCGGCCAACCATGACCCAGCCAAGACTGCCAGCCACCCAGATGCCAAGCTCTTCACTGATGATGAACTTGTAGCCATGATCGATCCTATTCTTGAACAGGACGACCGCAATCGGGATGGATACATTGACTACCCAGAGTTTGTGCAAGCACAGCGTAATGCAGCAGCTGCAGCTGCTTCGACAGGAACTAATAATGTGTAATTTATTAGAGGGTACATTTTTTTCTTTCTTTTTCTGAAGTCATTCATCATGCCAGAATTCAAATTGGGTTATTTAGTCTTTTTTATCATATATTTCTTTATATATATATATATATATATATATATATATATATATATATATATATATATATATATATATATATATATATAATCAAGTGCAAAAAAAGCTGTGGGGGTCATTGCTTAGATGGAAAAGTTTCAACAAGAATAATTGTGCTTCCAATATTTTTCTTATTCAATTAGCTCATTGAAACCAAGGGGGCAAGTATACATGCCCTGTCTATTGTGACTTCAGTTCTTTTGTTTACATGTACATGACTTCACAATTCAGAGTCACCAAGAAATCAATTACAAGGTCCACTTGATCTTGCCTGTTTATGCTATTACATAACTTTTGAAAAGGAAAATTTTATTTTTATCAGTAGCAGTATTGCTAAAAAGATTGAACTTCACCAAGTTTTTTTTTTCTGGAAATTCAATTAATGGGATAAACGTGTAAGATTGACTCCTTGATGACTGTGCTGGTAAAAGGCATATACCTATAAACAATATTGACTAAACAGTTAATCGTGCTTCATGGTAAATGTTATAACTAGAAGATATACATATATATTTATTCAGATGGATTTTAGATGAAGATATTTAAAAAAAAGGGTGTGTGAATATTACCATACAGAAGTGACCATGAACAGTGCCAATAAAGTGTGGGACTTTGATGAAAGAAAGATAATTATTTCTACAACTCTATTTATATAACTTTTAATCATATCAGTTTTTGGAGAGGAGGGAAGCACAAAGTGAATCATGTTTCAGATATTGTTTGTACCATTTTTTTCATTCCTTTTTCTTATGATGATGATTAGTTCTTTCTCATTCTTTTATTCTTTGATGATGCGAAGTTGATAATGATGCACAAATAATGGAGAAAGAAACATGACATTACAGTATTTAAAATGACACAAAAAATATGAGTAATGAGTGATTTGGGCTTTGATAATGCTGCTCAAGTTTATCACAAGGACTCTCTTAACTAACATGTAAATAAATGTAACATCTTTTTATGTGATGGAGTGCAATTTTCTCAATTTTTAGAAATGTAATGTTAATCTGTTAGCGATCGTAAGGGTTAACTTTTATATATCAGATATACAGATATGGTATCCATAGGTGAAGTCTGCTAGAGAAATAACATGGCATATTTTTGTCATGGAAGAGTACTCAGCCTTACAAAAGGTATTATGATTTACAATAAATAAAATGTATATTTATGAAATGTTTCTTTCCTCAGACTGAAGGTTTTTTGTTGATGCAGAGTATTGCTGTTGATATCATGCTGATTGTTATTATCATTACTATTAGTACTGTTATTTTTTTCAGAACATTATTACAATTTTTTTACAGTTTGATTCTTTTTTTTTCTCTGATTGTAATATTTTGTCCTTATCCTGGGATGCATTGTCACAATTTGTCAGTTTTAGATTTCACAAAAAAAACTAATTTGGAATCTCAAATTTATGGGTGATTTTATGTATATTATTGTAAAACTCTTACACATTTTTTTTTACTTTATTCAGTGGTTATGGATTTCCATTTTTATATGACAATAAGTTAATAAAATATATTGGTTAAATTTTGTATTTTTGGTTCCATATAATATTTGGTTATATATCATTACATACCTTATGGTACCTTATGCATACATATGATCATCATTAGATGGATCCTTTACAGAGCTAAACTTGATACAGTAGAATAAATGTAAAACACCAATTGAAATATTTATATTTTTTTCCAAAATATATTTGTTTTTCAACATTCTTCCAAATTTAAAGTATGGTTATTTATGTCAGCTTGCCAACTTAAAAGTTGAGTGTGTGCATCTTTTGTTGTTTAACATTTACATGTTGCGACCAAATTTGTGATCTTTGCCCATTTGAGGAAAGATGTTATATGTTACATAACTTAAGATCTAGGCAGCCAAATTTAGTAGTCTTGTCAAATTCTTAGTGAATGTTCTTATGACCATATTTGTCTAATTCAGAGAATAATGTGAAATTACAACCGGAGGATGTTAGGAAACTGACAATAATAAACAATGTTCATCTGAAACGTCAGAAGTTTCAATATTGGGAATTTTTATAGAAGCAAAGCATTGCAAATGAAAGTGAAAAAATTAAATATTGTCCTTTAAAGTACTTTTTAAATGGTGCCCGCCTAATCCCATGTTCATTGTTGTCAAGGAGCTTAGGAGATGGAGACTGAGGCCCAGTGTGGGGGATCACCCCTGCATTGAACTTTAGTCCTCGCCTCAACTAATTTTGCATGGTCTTTTCATCCATTTTCCTTTTCCTCCTCGTATTCATCTCCTTCTGTCCTCATCCTAAAGTGTGAGAGCGGTGATGATAATGATAATGAACAGCTATTTTGCCCTGATTCCTATTTCTTCCTTGCCCTTTTTTTCTACCATACTAACCATAGTGCCTTATGAAAATAAATATTTTATCAAAAACTAAACCTTATTTTGTTTGGTAAGCATTGAATAATTCATCTCGAGATAACAAAGCAACTTTACAAATAACAGAAGATACTGCTTCAATGTTCAGTTTTTTTTAACTACAGTGCTTACATTCATGGTGCTTATCACTGAGTTTTGATAGTGATATCACTTTCTAATACTAAAACAAATACTATCCCCTTTGCTAAAAGTTTACTGCTCTATATCTTCCATGCAATGCCACTGCAGAAGACTCCCTTGAAAGTGCCAGCGAGGGCTTAGTTGAAGGACCTGCTGATAGATCTTTTAACTTCATCAATGAAGGAAGTCCTTCAGCTGGACCATTAACATTCTCTAGCCCTTGCCAGCATGTACAAGGGTCTTCCTGAGAAAGGGGAAAGAGCAGACAGGCATGAGGAGAGAGGGAGAGAGAGTAGAACATCGGCCGTAGAGTTTAATATCCCCTACCCCGACCAAAAAATCAAGGGTCGTAGCCAAGGCTGGAATTCTATGGAAATTCGTATGCTACACGGGACAAACGACATCCAATGGATGGTGATGTCACTATGGATTTTTTTTTCTGTAAGCTGTATTTTTGTTATTTTCTACAAGTACAAATGGCTTGATTCAAATTAAAGGTATTTAAAGCAATAGTAAAATATATTCTCATGTTCTAATAAATTAAACGTGAATATTGCTGAAACCATCCTGATATGAACTACTAATATGTGGCAGACCAAACGTCATCACAGCGGAAATTTCATGCAATGTCACTTCAATTGGGTCTTCCAGCTGCGCATCACCAAAAGCAAAGCCACAGTCCCGTAGAGTGACTGTACACTTCACCCCTACGACACACTCAGTGTGAATAGTCATATACTTTTTAGATAAATAAAGTTTACAGTCGCACTTTCTTGTTATACATCTAATACATTTTCTATTAGGAGGTGCGGGTACATTTCATGTTAAATGTTGTTACATCATTGGCTTAATAATGTACTTATTGTATATTGTTTTATGCAGCGTAACGACCAAGAAAGTAGCTATAATCATCAGAATCTGGCCCTACGCACTGTTACTGTAGGATGGCTACTGTCTTAGCCATCATGCTCACTCTGCGGATGTTTCTCAGGAAATTAAGTATATGGTATGGCAACGCCATTGTGGTTCTTAACCTTTCTACTACTTTGCCTCCTCTCGGAACTTGTCAGTCCACCACGCCCCCTTGCATATATGAATAAAATTTCTCCCGTAATTTAAAGAAAGTTAAGAATAAGTTCTTAGTCTTATTATTGGGTATGAATTAGTCACATTATTAGTAATATATTTGATAATACTTATTGCCCCCACCCCGAAAAAAAAAAACATAAATAAGACAAAAACAATTAGTCACACTATGAGTATACCAGCAGTACGCAGCTCCAATCTGAGCTAAAAATCCCCTGCCAAGGGCTTCGAAGATATAGAAGGGTTAGTAAGTACAGAAAACGGTAAGCGGCGCAAGGATAGTAGACTATAGAAAACAAAACTTGTAAGGCGATACTCTTGTTTTTTTCGTAAACTTCTCATTATTTGACTATGCTCTTGACAATATAATAAAAAATACAATTCGATAAATTCCTGCTTTTCCTCAAGGGTTCGCCTGACGTTGTCAGACTGACCGACTGACTCCGCCCACTTTGGTCGGATGAGAACCCTTCACTTGCTACTGTACTACAAGGTCTATATAAGTACAGTTCTTATATAGACCTTGCTGTACTAGTCGTTGACGATTTGTTGGCGACTGGATCACAGTATGAGAATTTTAAGGGATGATATTTGGCAGTACGGTATTTCTCACAAGTGTTAAAATTATTTGATAAAGTCATTATGAACAAAATTCCTTGTAGCGTCAACTACAACATATATCAAGTTACAGGCTTTCATCTTTACAAATAAGGAGGAAAATAAGAAAGGACAAATATATTTTTCCACAGGTCAGCAGAGAACATTAATCATGATTTATTGTAATGCAAAAATATAGTACAAGTAAGATACTGTAAGGTGAAAAAAGTATAAATCACATTGCCCACTTCCAAACTAAATACAACAAATTACAGAAACTTTTGTAGCTAGTGAAATCCTTATTACTCTTCAGTATATATCAATGTAAACAGTCTACCTGGTTAGAGGAATGAAAAATAAAAAAACTATATGTTAGGAAAAAGTCAGTAGAAAAAATACTTTCTATGTGAACTTTTGAGCAGCTGGATGGAATATTCAGGAGAACCTATATCTAAAAGGTATGGCTAATAAAACTAATATTAAGGACTCATGAGCCACCTTTTGCCCGAACTGGAGACTAATTTTGGACGATATCACTTATCATCTCTTTTATATGCAATCCTACAGAGTTCCAAAGCCTCATCTCGAGATTTAGATGGTGAGAAAGTATCCAGCTCTTATCCAGGAACTCTCCACCTCTTGATTCCAGGTACCCCACAAAATTAATCTATGCGTTATAACATTTATAAAATTCCCTGTAGCGTCAACTACAACATCTATCAAGTTATATCAAATGAAACCGTTTCAATTGTTTATTTATTCTCCAACTAAGAGAAGTCTATGAAGGGGATACACAAGCTTGATATCTCTCTTGTATCAAGCAAATATACAGCATAGTTTAGATTTTATTTACACGAGTTCCCGCTAGCATTTCCGTTTTTTTTAATTCATAGGAAATTGACATTTGAGGGGAAGACTAGTATATTTTAGTTAAATGTCTAATGTAATAGATATTGATTTCGTTATTTATTATTTCTATTATTTCTGTGTATATTTTTGCGAGACAACACGAAGAGATTTTTATAAGTATACTCGTCCTAGGTTTATAACGTGGTTCTACTATTATAATAAGGATAATAATGATAAAAATATAAATAACAACGACAATAACAATGATAGCCGTATCCATTGACGGGCAGTGTCATAAGCTTCCTTAAGGTCTTGGTCGGAGCAGTGAGAGCCCAATGGACATTCCTTGAGTATGTGATCCTTTGTTTGTTTTTCTCCACATTGACATTTGGGGCTGGCGGTGATTTCCCATTAGTGGAGGTTGTCTTTGGTTTTGCTCACTTTAGGTCTTGCCCTGTTTAGTGTTACCCAGTCTTTTCTGCTTAGGTTTGACCCGTGGGGCAGGGTTTCATCTGGGTTTGGCGGGGCCTCATTGTGTTGCTGGCGTTCGGTTTCCTGCCAGCGTTCCAGCCTGTGTTCTGCGGCTTGGCTTTGCTCTAGTCCTTCGGCAGTCAGAAAGCTTTGGCGGGACTTTAGCCTTCGTATCACTTCTTGGTGGCCATAGAGTGAGTGCCGGGGGTCGTGCAATTGCTTTTGACGTTCAATCCTTGTGGTAGTTTCACGTGAGGTGATGGAATACCCGTGTTCATGGATTGGGCTAATATTCATTTTATGTAACCTGTTGTAACGTAATTGAAAAAAAAAGTTATTTAAGTTTGGAAAGAATTTGTAAGCATCTTCCATTCTTACACGAACGCCCTGAGGCAAAACAAAAGCAATGTCGGGGATAACGCAAAGTAGGCGTGTCTTTCCACCTACACCTGTCGTAAAGCACGGTGCTTACCTGCATTCTCGTGAGTCCTTAAACATCATTAACAGAAACTTGTTTTTCATTATAGAATTTCTTCAATAATAAGAATGTGATTGTATATTTTGAATTAGCATTTATATTGTTTATCTTTCATTTTTATTGTATGTTTCAAGTCCTGAGACCGAACTACAAACAAGTGAAACAAGAGTCGCTGTAATAGCGCCCACTCTCCGCTCCAAACAGGACGACTGACCATTTTCTTCGATTCGTGAAAAGGGAGTGACAAATGCAGAAAAAAAATACTATTTATGTGTAAATCATTGTAAATACATGATTCATGAAGGCCTGTTTATTTTACCCACCTTGATAATGCTAGAGAAAATGAAGGATCAAAGAAGGGGAGATTATTAAAAGAACCCACCAAAACCTGACAGTCTATATATAGCTGGCAGTGGTGCAGGTTTTATGGTGCCAATAATCATTCGACATGCCCCGTTCAGCTCTGGGTCCACTCTGTGTGCATGACATGATCTGGCCCACACTGGGGCACAGT